TAAGTTGGAATTGGGGATAATTTTTAAGGAAAAATTATAAAATCATGATTTGGTACTTCTATCTCTCGTTCAAGTCTTTTTTATCTTTAGTTTTCTTTGTTTTATTTTCTTTTGCTCGAGGACTAGCAAAATTTTAAGTTTGGAGGTGTGATCATTTTATTTTATAGAATTATTTTAGTCTAATTTTGTTATTAAATATTAGCTAAGTCCTTAATTTTTAATCAGAATTTTGTTATTTTAGTTTTTCTATAATTAGTTTATTTTTAATGAGTTATTTGAATTTTAGGTTTATTTATTTTAATTTGGCTATTATTTATTACTTTTTATGCTTTTGTAGGAATTAAGGGAATAAGGCTTAATTTTGAAAAATAAGGTGTTTGAAGGACCCAGAATTCTGCTTGCATATACTTTAGTGCGTTAACCATAAGTTGCATTCTATATGTCCAAATGATACGATTCTTGCTGTATTTGAAAGCTCAAAGACAGAGCTACAATTTTCATGCAAACCACTTTGCCCAGTTCTACCTTGAAGATAGAGAAAATCATGTCAGAAAATGCCTAGGCATAATGCTGCGGGAATGAAAATTTTAAAGATGATATTTGATGTTTGGGCCTCATTACACTTTTAAGCCCAATAGTTAGAGTTAAATAGGTTAACTTATGAAATTTTAGGTTAAGATTGTGAGTGTAAAAAGATTGTTTTAGGAGAAGTTAAAAGAGACAACTCTAAGAGATTCAATAAGCTAAAAGTTGAGGTAGAAACTCGAAAAACAAGGCTACAATTAATAGTTTTGTTTCCTTTCTTAGCTTTTATTTTTCTTATTACTCTTATGGTTAAAATTTATATAATGTTATTTTTGTTCACAATTATGAGAAGCTAACTTTATTTTTCTAGGATTGCAATTGAACTCCCATATAATCTAAATTTTTAAATCTCTTTCGTGCTTATCTTTAATGGGATTTGAATTGCTTATTCCAATTTGTTCTTAATGCATTTTAATTGATTGGTCACCAATTAAATTGATTTAAAAACCTAAACAAACTTGGGAGAGGGAGTTTAGAATAGACTAAAATTAAGATAATATAGGATCATATTAATTGATTTGTATATAGGATAAGGAAATACCTACATGCCATATGTAGCTAGATTAGAGATTGAACTTAAAGAGTTTTTTTAAAAAAAATTTGAAAAAGCATGAATCCCTTTATGAATTGTGTAAGGGTTATCACTTCTCATGGAAAAAGCAAGAATCCTTGATAATGGATTGAAATTCCTTGATTACCAAAGGGGTGGATGTATGTATCGAAAAAGCCAAATCACTATAAATTGCTTGTGTCTCTTTCTAATTTTTGTATTATTATTTATTGCTTATTCTTGCCTTTGTAAAGTGGATTTATATTGATTTATTGTCTTTCTCTTAGGAAAATATTTTTCTCTTATTTTACAAAGCTAGCATTTATTTCAAGAAAAATACTTTACCTTAATTCATTAGTTTTTATACTTAGTTATTTATTGTTGCAAATTTATTTTTCGATGTTAGAAAATATTTTTGGGTGAAAAAGTTTTGATCTTTTAGACTTAGATTTTCAAAGAAATTTTTAATATCTTAATTCACCCCTTCTTGATATATTGTACATTGAGACTTCTACGTTAACAACCTACAAACTGAATAGACATTTAGATCATTTGAATTATGACTAGCTAAATCTCAAAATTGTTGGCTTGAATGGCCAACCTTTGAATACTCGAATGGAGTCCTTAAACCAAAAGAGATGCATAGTCTCTCAAAGATCAATTATTCCACCACTACATGCTCTTGCAATTGCTATTCTCTGGGGTTTTCAACCATTGTTTCCAATTGATTGGAGTCTTGGGATTTTCTTCTAAGTAGTCTCCGAAAAGTCTTCTTGATTTCCAGATCACACAGAACAAGTTCCAAACTCCACACTCTTCTCATATAATGACTTTACGTACCTAAAAATAAATAGAAACAAAACTTGAATTAAGACTAGCTTGAATTGGTGTTAATATTAGCAAAAGAATATAAAAACCACTCCCCGGCAATGGCACTGAAAACTTGTTATGAGCTTAAATCCTTATGAATTTAAACTAACACAGAAGTGCACGTGCCGTGAACAAGTAGTAAAGTGATGAGGACAAATGTCGATCCTACAAGGAGTTGGCTATAATTCTTCACTAAGTACTAAAATTGGGTCAAGCTAACTTTATCCTAGCTAACCAAAGTGTGGAAAATGATTAAAAAAACTAATTAATTAAGCTAATTAAGAAATGCAAGGTAAAATAATCTAGAAGTAATATTTTAAAAATCTAAGATTATGGTTTCATTCAACATTTCACTTGGATTGTTATTTTTCTAATTACTTAATTCAATAGGGGTTAATACTAGTCTAGAATCCTAATGCATGTACAAACTTATGTCTAGGTATTTGTACAATTGCCTTAGATTAATTGGGTTTCTATATGTCTATAAGATTCAATTAAACTAGGTTCTTTAAGCACAATTTTTACTTAGATTATATGTGGCATCTAAGCATATGTCTACCCTAATTGCTAATCAAGGCACTTAATTTCTAAGTGATATGTACACATATTATCCAAACCCAAGTTTAATCTAAACTAACTTTGTCAAGTCTCATTTATATACCACAACCATTCAATTGGTGATCAAGCAATCAATGGTCAACAAATTCATATTTGAATAAACATCAACATACCCATTCAAAATAAGTAAAAAGGCAACAAATAATTCAAGTTACATCTAGAAATCCACCAAAATCCTAGATAAAGTTATTTAGTTCATCATAGTTATAGCAAAGTTTAATATTTCTAGAAAATAACTTATTTCTACACTAAAATATAGAGAGAGAAAGAGAAAACTAGTGAGAGAAATGATTTGCTACAGCTTTTGGAACCAAATCTTGATCCTTTGATTTCTCCCATTTTCTCTTTTTGTAGAAGGCTTCTTTTTCCAGAAAATATTCTCTGCCTCCAACCCCCAAAGCCCACTTAAAATAGCCTATTTATATCATCCAATAAAAATCCCTAAATGAGAAAAACGTCATGTGTAGAAAATGGTCCCCCGTGCTGGTGCCTAAGTGTGAGGCTTTCTATTTGCTGCTGTGCAGTTTAGAACAATCCTTCAACTTCCAATGCAATTTTCACCATGGTCTGATCAGAATGGGGTGAAATGATAAATATAAAAGTTGTAGCCCTTCTTCTTAGATTTCCAAAGGTCAAAGAATCACAGTGATCGGACTTTTGTAGCTGGAGTTGCACTTAAAACACTGCAGCTTGTTGCAGAGACATCTCAAGCCATTTTGCACGGTTCATCATCCATTGAGCTCTCTTGTTCATAAAAAACTTCAATAACAATAGCTCAAATTGGGGGTTTAACATGAAATTAAATTAAAATCACTTGAACTAAAATAATTAAACATGCATGAAAGTTATTAATGAAATGCATGAAAATTACCTAAATGCAACTTAAAAACACAAAAACTTAGCTCTTTTTATGTCCAAAAATACTACAAGATAACTTTACATAAGCACAAAAGAGTCACTTATACATGATTGTTGATTGAATGATGTAAAGAGGCTTACCAGGGTCTAGTGGACTTACTCATATAAGTCTTAGTGCCGGTCACAATTCCCCCAGAAAATAGGATGTGATAAGAGTTTGGTCTATCTCACAATGACTCGACCTGATATTGCTTATGTTGTTCATTTAGTTAGCCAATGTATGACTACTCGGTCATCTTATTTTTTAAGTTGTTTTGCGTATTTTGCACACTATCAACGACACACTCTTTTATGGACTTCTTTGTACACTCTTCTCTAATTGTAACTATGTATTCTAATGTTGACTAGGTAGGTAATCCTACAAATCATCTAGCAACTACATATTATTGTTTCTTTTTAAATGATTCTCTCATTTCTTGTGGAAGTAAGAAACAAACTGCAACAACCCATTCCAGCACTGAATCTAAATATCGTGCTTTTGCATATACTACTTTAGAGTTTCTTTAGCTTTGGCGATTGTTCGAGGATATGGGCCTTGCCCGAACTGCTGCCACTATCCTTCACTATGATATTAGTGCTATTGAGATTGCTCACAATGATATGGTTCATGAGTGCATTAAGCATATTGAGATTTATTATCATTTTGTGCATCATTTTATAACCTCTTCAAATCAAATTGCTAATATATTTAGCAGGACTCATCTTCCTAGCCGTTTTCAAGAGTTAGTTTCCAAAGTCAAGTTAGCAAGTACCCAATGACCTTAAGTTTTGAAGGGAGTGTAAAGATAATTATATAAATTATTTAATTTTAGTTATATAAGAGTTCTCTTCTTGTAACAGGTTTGACACATCCAATTCATTAAAATTAAACACAACTCTTTTGTTAGCAATGAAAATTTTGTTTCATCCCAACAAGCTTATCCATCGACGAAAAAGACTTCCATGACTGGCAGGTAATGTTTCAAACCAAAGTTTGAAGTAAATTTCACTTTTCCAGTAGTGAAATAGATTAAGGGGTTAGTGACCAAGACTAAATAACCATTCCAAGAAACTAGCAGGACCGTGGACAGGTTGGATGACAGATTTTGTTCTCAATAAATTCAGGTTTTCAATTTTAAATTATTCAAAAATACATAGTTTTGTGCTGAAGATACTTCTAGCTTTTTGCTTCTGACAGCAAGAAACAAGTATCGTACAGTTGTGCGTACAATTTGTCCATCCAACTCTCCCAATTTCGTAACAAAAATTATTAAATGAGAAGAATGTTGCGATCCCAGAGAGAGAGATGCCAACTTCATTGAAAAGCGCAACTGTTGCAAGCTGCAAAGACAAGAATATCTGAAAGGCAAAAGCCCACAGATCATGCAATCAATACAAGGAATGCACTAATCAAATCACCGAGTCTGAAACTCATTGCGCTCGCTTGCTGCATTGCTCCAGACTTGACATAGCGCAGCCATTTCCAAAATTTGGTTACCAGCTACTTCACAAGCTATTACTAAATAACCTAAAAGAATTATCACACATCATGTACAACAAGATTAGATTCCCCCTCCACCAGATTAAATTAAGTGATGAAGGAAACCCTAGGAATACACTGTTCCAAAATTACATCCTTCACAATGGTACATTGAAATACTACTTTTGGCAAGGGGAAGAAAATATATATCAGCAAACAAAACCAAGCACACCTTTGAATGCATTTTGCAGGCATGTGATGGGGAAAAACTTCCATGGAGATCACTTCAAATGGATTAACCAATTTCAGTCAGCAATAAATACAGCTCCTTCCCCAGTCAACAACTGACAGCTGAATTGAAGCACACAACCGCCACCAAGCAAATCTTCAGAGCACTCAAGCTGATATGGGTTCATACGGGTATGATAGCCATGGGTGCTTCAAAGCCTCTGCTGCAGAAGGGCGCTTCTTTGGGTTTACTTCGAGCAAATGAGCAACAAAATCAATGAAACCCTGGTCCCCCATGGGCAACCGATGCCTCAAGGATGTCTTCTTGGGTATCAGGTATTCTAGTCTGCTGGTCTCCTGAGAATATTGGTAAATATGCACCACTTTAAATCCAAACGCATAAACATAGAAACAGCATTCAAGTTATATAAGGAAAGAAGCTGGGATTATGGTAGCCCCTGGGGAAGACAACTAGTTTTCTCCAATAAACAAATAACGAATAAATATTTTTACCTGATTGCGTTCATAAAGCATGTGATTCTTGGTAAAATACTTGTATGTATCCCGTCCTTTGGCGAGCATGTCTTGTTCAATGGGACCTATGATTCCAATTACCCTTGCAAGTAATGTTGCAGGTGAATCATTTTGGAATAGGACCTATACCCATTGTATTGAAACCGATTTGTACCAAACATTAATAAGACATGAGTTGCAATAAAATAGGTAAATTCGTAGTGGTAAAATTTTTATACCAATCAATAATGCGCTTGAGGCTACAGAGAAAAATTAAATAGGTAAAGGGAGGGAAAATTTTATCCAATATCTATATAAATAAAAATAAATACAGTGGAAAAATCTGTTTTTTCAGGATCATCAACTAAAGATATTAATCTGAGTTGTCAGTAGAACAAGATAACTAACTTGTAGCAATAGAATATATGCATAAAAGTCTAAATCTTAATACCATAACAAAAGAAAATTATTTTGTGGTCAAGTTTGAGCAAATTTATGTCATGAAACTTAAACATATCATTGGGACATCTCAATCAACTAGTTTTCACAATATTTGAACCAGGGACTTACTAATCGAACAAGGTTCCAGAATTTAATCTATTCAACATTTATGGATGAGGACATCACCTTATGAAATTACAAAGAGGTCATAAAATTGTACAAGAATCTCTTTTACATTCTACGAGCAGTTAGTTGAAAACCAAATCAATGTTCAGGCAATCTTTTTCCGTTGCAATGATTTGTTCAAATGCATGATATTTCCAAGTTTTTTGTCTACAACGCTTTTTTACAAAGCAAAAGGAAAAAGAACATTTTAAAAAAATTTCAAGTGCAAGAGAAGTGCAACATCTCATAGCCATACTTCATAAAAAGTAAATAATAATTATCGCCTACAGAAGTCCAATACTTACATTGCCAGTACAGAGTTCTGCCAAGATGCAGCCAAGTGACCATACATCAATCTTCTTATCATATGGAAGTCCTAGGATAACCTCTGGCGCACGATAGGACCTGGATTGAACATAGGAGCATAGGTGATCTGTCTCAAAACAACTGCTCCCAAGATCAATCACCTTCACCTCACATCTACTATAACTTTTTACTAATATATTTTCTGGCTTGAGATCACAATGTATCAGGCCAAGACCATGCAAAAACTGGAGAGCCTCCAAACACTGAATAGTAATTGACTGCACAGAAGAATTTAAAAGAAGATTACAAATTAGCAAGACATAGATTAGAAGCTCATCTTAAGAAAACAGCTTTCAACTAACCTGCAATCTCGGCATTGTGAAGTAAACCTCTCCACCTGATTCCCTATTAAATTTATGAAACTCATATAAGTTTGCCTTGAGAAGTTCACAGACTATTAGCAAATGCTCCTGAAAATAAAAAAGAGTCAGCTGCCACTCAATTCCACATACAATTGTCATTCATGTACAGGACTCTATGATGCATTAGCCAGCAGATAAACTTCTAATTTTCACCAGCCGACAAGCATTTACACTCAACATGCCAACTTGAACTTCAAAAGATAAAACCATTGGCTCCAGAAGCCAAACATGTTCAGAACAAAGCCCCCAACAAATGCACATGTCAATAGAAACACGCAAGAACTAGGACCAGACTCCAGATTTTAAAATACTGGGAACTTGCAAACATCTCACCAATGATAAAGAATATAGAAATAAATGAAAGTTTAAAAAAAAAAGGGAAAGAAATACCCGCTATCTATTAATAAAGCAAACATGAAAGTACTAGAACAACCAAAAGCATGAACAAGGAAAAAGAAAGACATACATCCTCTACATTTACTTACTCGGTAGTAAAAGTAATCATACAATCGGAGAATGTGGTGCTTATCTGCAGGATCATGTTTGTTAACATACTTGAGAAGCTTAATCTCATCAAGGCTTTGATCAAAAAAATCCTTGTTGTTCTTTATAATTTTCACACAGACATCCATTCCTGTGTGCAGGTCATGTGCTTGTATAGCTTTACTAAAAGCAGCTGATCCAAGATACTCAGTGACATGATAGCGCCCAGCTAGAACAGAATTCAAAACAACATGGAAATTCTTGTCCTCCTCAAATCCAGTTCTGAGAAGCGAAAGAGGACTTATGTTAGGAAATCTGTTGGCTAGAGCTTTATCGCTTGTAGCAAAGTGAAAAACGTTCAGTATAAATTATACTAGAGAAATATTATCAGGCAAGTAAAAATTCCACGGCTTATAAAAAAAGTAAAAAGTCCACAACATATGCCATTGCTGGTAAAAGCAGCAGTAATTTAGCTCTCAACTTATTTCACTATCATCAATAACAAAAAAGTAGCATCTACCTGAAATGTTCAACAAGCTTTCATTTCTTTCTTTTTCTTTTTTGTCCATTGACAGTTGCTAACCATTTAGGGATCAAGTTAAAAGCCAATGGTATTGCAAATGAAATAATGTCTCAAAATTCAAAAAGTCAAAATAGGAAAAACAACTAAAAGAAACCTAGTTTCAAATGATGAATTAGGTAAAATTTAAGCTAAAAATAGAAAGAAAAAATTATGAGCTATGTTAAATACTTTGTAAAGGAAAAATTGTAAAAAAATGAGAACAGATCATTTAATTAGTTAACTGAAGCTCTATGTCCCTTCTGCTTAAGATTAACCACTACAGCGCATAAAACATATTAATCTTTAAAAGCATTTGTCAATCAGAAAACTATAAGAGGAAGCATGGCTTTTGCTCTCCAAAATCAACCAGAGTTCATATTGATACCACCAAAGAGTTCCAAGGATACTTGATATCTCACAAGGAAAGCTAAAATAAAACAATGAGAGAATGGACAATACCATCTATGTACCAGCAAAAGTTTTGAAATTGTTAGCACCAGTGAATGAACAGAATTGAAATTGTTAGCACCAGTGAATGAACAGAACATATATATTACATTCAGGATTTGTTTCTGAGATAAGACATGCCTGTTTTTCCTATGCACAATCTTGAGGTTGAAGGTCTCAAATTCCTCCTCCTGCGCTTTAATTTGTCTCACTTGCTCTTGGACAGCAGCAGCCTCTTCATCCTCAAGTGATACCCCAGGATCCCCTTCCCTCACACCACTGATTTTCTCATCCTCTTCTTTCTTGGTCTGCTCTTGTTCACCATAACCATAATTAGAGAGAGTTGAAGGACTAGAAGTTGCTGATCTTGCAGCATTGGCATTGTTTTCATCCCTAGAACTTTTGACAGTTGAAGAATCACTGCTTTTCCGTCTCCATGTAGCAAGCATATCATCAGACGCCATCAAAGCATTCAAGCAGTCATCATGTTCATCACCACCAGCATTGCAGTTACTTGACCACACAGACTTATTAGAGCCTGCCTGCACCAACTGGCCATCCCTTAGAGGTGGAGGAAAAGAAAATCCCCCATCTGCAATATTCTTCACCTGGGGACAGGCACCTTTATCATTTCCAATAACATATTTATTGGAATCATTTTTGTTGGTTTTCCTTTTATCCCTAATTGATTTATCAATATATTTCCTGTCTGTCTCTTGATGACTTTGTCTGGACCCTCCAATAGCAACGTCATGATCATGAAAATATTCTAAATCCCCTTCACTACTACCTCCAACTAAACTTTCACGTACTTCACTGCCAATATCAGCAGCATCACTGTTGATTCCCACACCAATAGACCTAACAGAACCATGCTGATCATCATCGATACAAATATCATCCAGCCGAGATCTCCCATGCTCATTGAGAACTTTTTCATCCCCTAGCATGATAAGTTCATTTGTCTGTGTGACAAATCCCTGCCAAACAGGTTCAGCACGCATCAAATTAAGCTCTTCTTCATCCATTAATTGTCCATCATATTGGGCAATTAAATCATTCTCATGAGTCCTCCCATACATTTCAGTTATGGATAGTCCTATAGGATCATCTGAAGTTGAAACAGGTTCAACATTCTTTGCCTGGAAATATTGTTCACCAGAGAAGTAAGAATCCTCCTCTGCAAATGATTGATCATCATCTTCATCCTTGGTTTGACCTCTTTCTTGCGGATCTGGCACGCTCCCATGCCCGGTTCCCTTTTCGTTGTCACTAGGATAATCAATTTCATGAGCCAGAAACCAGGCTTCATCCTCAATAGGTTGCCTCATGTATCCAACATCGTCATCATCATCATATTCATCAGAGTCCCAATACTCATTTGGGTAATCAACAGATTCACTTAATCCATCACCAACAGTAGCAAAACCTGAAACCAGATCAGATGCATCTTCTGCAATGCCCTGACTCACAGAAAGCCAACTGCCTCCACCAGTCCTTTTCCCACCTGGATCATAAACAAGATTCAAGCTTACTCAGCAGAGTTATAAGAGAAATAACCATCTTCTCTAAAAATAAATAAATAAAAAGAACATTCATAGTGATGAACTTTATATATTTAGGGCCAGGCAGAGAGCTCAGCATCCAAACATAAGTAACCAGAGAATGCTACAAGTTGAATTCCTTTTACAAACATAAAGATCTGAAAAAAAAGGACAAAAGCCCAAGCATGTAACATCAGCTTAGAATTTAGAGAAGAGACAACCACTTGAACCATTGCCATTACCAGCTATTGATGACAATAAATGCATTTATCAGGTTTACTACCATAAAATGACCTTCCAAGACAAATGCTTATTTTCCTTATTTGTTACACAGTGACAGATGCCTAAAACAAGCACCTGAAATGTCATTCATATAGGAAGATGAATAATATCCATTTTGAGGCCCACAGATAATATGTGAATCTAACAAGCAGGATCTGATCAGTTCAAATCATATAACTAACCAGCAAGGAATCAAGTATCAGTCGGATGGATTTGGAAAAAGTGAGGGTAGGCTTTAGGGTTTAGTATTTACTTTCGACATATATTTGAAGACTATCATTGAAATTTAAAATGAGTTACCAAATGAATAACATCAACAAACCTCAAGAGGCAAAAAAGGGGTAGTTAATAATTTATAGCATGTTAAAAGGTCTCAAATAGTTTTACAATGCAAATTAGGGTGTAATCAAATCAAGCTATTCGTCAGCTACTCAAGCTTCGGTCAATAAATACTCAAACTCAATTCATTCAATTGTCCAATTGAGCTTGAGCTTTTAATACTCAGCTCAAGTGGCCTTTGAGCCTAATCAAGCTTCTGAGTTTTTTAGTACTTAATATAAAGAAATAAAAAATAATATTTATTTACATAGAGCTTGAGCCTTGATCGAGTTTTGAGCTCCTTATTTGAGTGGATGATAGTCAAGCTAAATTCTAACAAAGCTTATCTAGCTCAATTAATTTTTCAAGCCAAACTAGAGTACAAAACTTTAATGCTCAAGCCTAAAACTGTATCAGCTTGCCTTGGCTGATTACACCCCTATAAATACCATAAATTAAATATCAAGAAAATTTAGAGTTGTATCCATTTATTATTTGCTAGGCAGATTAGGACCATGCATAAGTTACCAAATCTTATTTTCTTGTTTTTCTGGTTGAATGTATTTCTGCTTTCTATTTTAATTACACAAGTTCTGATAATATCAAAATTGCTAATTATTGTTACATCTTGACCCATAAGTCTGTACTTTAAGATCTAGCATTAGGCAATTGGGCTATTATTGTAGGACTAAGATCAGAAGAAGCCAATACACATTGCTTCTTTAAATTAATAGCCTCCACTCTTCAGCCTCATGGTTTCTGTCCCACATGGTCAGGCAACAAGACCTATATGTCCAGGCTCCCCCACATCTCCCATCCCCTCCCCCCAAAAATTCCCCCTGGTAATCAAAATAATTAAAAGGTACAAAAAAATTTAAATGGATTCTTTCAACAAATCAAAAAAAAAAGTTTAAGAAATATTCAAAAACTAAAACACTTTATCTAGGATCTTGCTAAATACTTAACAACATGAGGTGGAAAACAAAAGATATTAGGCAAGAGGCATAAGTGTTTATTCCATTTCCTTGACAAGTTTAGAAGTAATTTGAAACTTACGAACCACTTTGAATTGTCCCTAGCATATCTTCCCACAAATTATAATATCAATTAATCATACCCTTATGTTACCATTCAGCACAAGTTCACAGTAGCCACTACCCAACAGGACCAGTGATTTCCTAAAACTAGAATTTACTCATCCGCTTACAATCCTAAACCTCCCATAGTACAACCCTAAGTGACCAAATAATTCCATAACTCTGCCCTTTCCAATGTGAAATTATGCTCTCCAAAGTTATTCTTCCCTTATTGACTGACAGCACTTAACTATGAAAACCTTTTGACGGTTGTCCAAATGATTAAAGGTTCAAGTTGGAAGTTTTAAACATGAAATTTCAATAAAGGGAAGGAAAAAGATTTACCCCAATGTCATTCACTGTATATTTTTACACTAGACACGACCAAGACCACCTGAAATTAAATTTTAGTTTATCTCTCATAGGGAAGAATCCTTAGTAACTTAATAAATGCAACATTTGTGCACAACTCCAAATTCAGGTCCTCTTAAACTATGACCAAACCAAATGTCAAATTAAAACACTCCACCACGTTATTTTAACATATTTTACATATTTACAATTTGAAGGTAAGCTGTCTTCATGCTATTTCTTTCTTTTCATTTTACTTCTCTAGTAATGTCTTACTTCCAGATCAGGTACACCATTAAGCTTTGAGATAAAAATTACAACAGAAATTACAAAGTGAACAAAAAGCACAGAAACTTTTCTTCCCGCTTCAGTTCCGCAGAGAGCCCTTTAGAAGGGGTTTCATGCAACTTTTTTTTCTTTTATTATTCTTTGTGTCACCTTGAACAAAGTTCAACCTATACTCTCAGCTTCTTAAAAGGATTTTTTAAGGACTCACAAAGGTGCTTGCCAACAGAAAAATGGAAAACCTTAAAGGAGAATTCTTTATCAAATTCATGATAACAAAGCAGCCAATCTCTTGTAGGATAGATTATCAAACACAAAATTCGCATAGCTCACGGATGAGGCTTTGCCACCAATGGCTAGTTGGCATCTTTCCATGTTAACAAACATTTTTACCACAACAAATGAGATATGTCAGTAAGGTTTACACAAAGTATATACATATATACACATAGACATACAACATACGTACATGTATAATGCCAGAAAATATAAGCAAATGACGCATAGACAAGTAAGAGTAGAAAAGATATCGAAACTATAGATAAATAGCCAACTATTAGCAATCATTAATTTAAAGAAAATCAAATATCTGTGTGCACAAATTTCAAATAAACATATTATTGTGTGAACTAACCAGAAGAGTCTATTTCTTGCCCAATGGGAACATCCAGATATGACCCCATAAGGAAGGTACTGTCAGCAGTAGTGAGCTTTGCGCCTGGGCCATCACGTTCATATTTTTCCTCCCAATTAACATTCAAAGACTTCTCCTCTGATTTAAGTTTAACTGGTGGCAGCCTAGGAAACTCTTCCTTTGAATTATCAGATGCTAGAGGGAAGGCCAACCCACTTATACCTTTTTGCTCAGAACTCCCTTGCGATTTCCCAAAAAATAAAGCTCTTCCAACCTCATCCACCTGTTCTTTAATTGCTGCCCTAACATCAATTGCATCTGCTTTCTTCTTTCCTTCTCTCTTCTCTGAACCAGTAGCAGCATCATAACCGATTGAAGCATCTTCCTTAGGGAATGGAAAAACAGTCTTGACAGAACAATCTTTCCATAACTCTGAAGATGAACTTGTGGGTTCCTCACTTCTACACCACGTGCTGTTATCAGCAAAGTTTTCCTTATAGTATGCACTGCCAGTCTTAAATTGCTGATCAAGCTCCTTAGTTTCACTGGTATGAATCTTGTCATACTTCGATTCTACATTAGCTTTGCTAGTATTTCCAAGCCATGTTGTTTTCATTTCACCAGAGTAGACAATCTCTTCTCCAGATTTAACATTTGCTTTATCAGTGTCAGGAGCATCAGCCGTACGGTATCTTGACTGATCTGGTATCTCTAGCTCTGAAAAGCTAGTGCTACTAACAAATCCATCATTTTTGAACAGATCAGGACCATTGCTGGGATTGAAGTTCCATGACTGCAATTTGAGTACGGTGTCCTCTGAACTTTTAGAGAAAGTGAAACCCTTATCACTTGTCACTTTTGCTTCATTAGGTTTAATATGCTCCCCAGTGGAAGCAGCATTTCTCCATTTGCTTTCAGACCCATTTCTGCCCGCCCCACACTCAATCTCTTTCACTATAAGTTCCCTAGAAACTTCACAACAATTTCGAGAACCCGAGCCATGACTTTCGCCCACTGTTTTTTTCCCATTCTCTTCTTCTAGTACCTTGCCAGAATCCTTTTCTTCAAGGTTAAGTTTCTGAAGGAATCCATTCAAATCAGGGCGGTTACCGAGCTCACTCCGCAAAGCTGCCTCAGCTCTTGTGAAGCGATTTCTCCTCAGAAAGTCCAGAATCACATCTACTGAGCTTGGCTCTGTCATTATGAAGTGCTATTGATCTAGAAACAGGTACTAGAAGCAAGAATCCACCAAACCTGAAAATATCCATACAAAAGAAACAAAAAATTTATTTATTTAAAATCAAAGAGGAAGTTCAAAAAATTTCAACTTCAAACGCTCTTTTGACCGTAAGAAATTGATTTTAGAGATGAATAATTAACAAAATTCGGAATCATTTATAGTTTCCCTGTCCTTTAAATACAAATATGTGAAAAATTACCTAAAACTAAAAGATGGAATCAGGCTTAACCAACTAGCAGGTTTATTTTTTCTAGGTGAAATTTGATTACTTCTTATTTTCCTTTCATAGTACTAATCTACTCCCCAATAAAAAAAATCAAGGTCAAAAACCAAATGCAATTCCATGAAAATCAAAACGGTGAATGTTAGAAAACTTGAATAAGGCACATATTGATTGATTTCTTAACTGACATTACTTCCTTGCCCTAACTTCAATCACTAAGAAAGTATAAATCTGAAATCCCACATTTTCCATTCCTTATTGTTTCTCGGCATAGAAGAGTAAAGGTTTCTCTTTTCCTTTTAAAAATCCCCCTAATTTCAAAAACACATTCCCTATGAAAATGGTACATTTTCCCAAAAATGAAAGAGAAAAAAAAAACCCTAGAGGAATTCCTAACCTCGTTAATCAAATCGAGGGAGGACAAGATCCAGAGCTCCAACCAAAAACCCTAGAAATATCCCAGATAACCTTAAAAACACAGAGATTCAGATACTTATTGATGCACCCAAAAGCCGAACAGGAGAATCGAAAGAAGTAAAAAAATACTTACAGATCGAAGAAGAACTAGAGCAGTCACGCCAATCTCTGTTGTTGGCTTTGGATTCCATAGCCACACTCCACATGAGAAACTACAAATGCCAAAAAAAAAAAA